AGAATCTGCTATTCTTTCTAAGATGTCCAAAGACTACAGAGCTTGATTACAAGAAGCTAACATGAACTTAATGCCAACACTGTTTCTGTAAGAGAAAAGAAAACAAATGAAGTATCTGTGCTCTATATGACTTGAACAATGCCTGAAATTTCACAACAACGCAGAAGAAAAGCTCTACAAAAAAGGCTTCCTTCTCTGAAGAAGCAAGATAAGCTAGCCAATCTCCAAGTTCAAGACATGGCCATTCTTCTTCCCTTACTCAGAGGGCTCAAAAATGGTAGCGGGATATTTCTTTTCGTCTTCGACACTCGAGGTTTCGAAGTCGTTCGTGTTTTTGTTTCTGGAGTTCCTGAATAAAACCAACCACAAGCTTCAGTAGTTATAGCCAATCTGTTCATAACATAAAGTTTTGAAGGAATCAAAAATCTTACTTGTGCCTTTTCTGATCTTTGTGTGTGGAAGTTTCTTTGTAGTTAGCATTTTCTTTGGTGGAGCTTCAGAATAGACAGATCTCGTATCAGAATAAAGTGATCTGGTATCACTTGCAAGCATGGTGAATGGATCTTCTATTACACAAACTGGTTCATCTACATCACTTCCAGACTCCCAAGTCTTCTCCTTCTCTGCAAGATTATAAGCAAACATTTGGAATGGAATTTGTGAAACCGAACACAAATCTCCAACCCCATCAGAGGACAACTTCCTTGCAACTCCTGCTTCGACGTTGCAGTAATCGGCTGTAGGCGTTTGCAGTTCCGGCCGATCGCTTTCCGGGTTCATAGCCAGAAACTTCTTCACTTGGAGAAGAATTCGACATATTGAAGAGAAAGACAACCTCTGAGAAAGGTCACAATGCCAACATCTTTTGGTAAGACTCACCAAATATTTAGGACTTGGAAATGGGAAGAGAGGTCTATCTCCTGCTCTGATATTACGGCTCATCTTCTCCCCTTGTAAATGACCATCTTCAAATGGAACTTTCCCAGTCAAAAGCTCAAAACAAAGCATACCAAAACTATAAACATCTGCTTTCTCTGTCTTCCTTACTGGACCCTGTTCTTGCTCTGCCATAACTTCTGGGGCATGCCAGATAAAAGGGTTGGTTTCCATTTGATCTGTTGAGCTCCTGGGAGGCGGATTTTTGACGGACGATAAACCGAAACCGGCGACTTTTACTAGGTAAGAGCCTTCTGACGAGTTTCTTGGCTTCAAAAACACATTGGTAGGGTTCAAATCTCCATGGTAGATCATTTGGGAGTGAAGGTATTCCATGGCTCTAGCAATTTGAAGCATGATATCAACCACAACAGGGAGAGGGAACAGGATTGTCCTCCTGGCTCCATTATTATCCTTCATGCAGGAAGAAAGATCCTTAGATATCAATTCCATTATAAGAGAGTACTCTTTCTTCTTCTCATCCAGAAACCCACAGAGATATTGAATTATATTAGGATGTGAAAGTGATAGAACAGTTTGAACCTCTGAATCTATTTGTTTACCTTCCGCCATGAACTGTCTCAGACAAAAGTTCTCCCCAAACCATTGGACTTCCTTATACTGCCCTCCTTCTAGCTGTCTCCTCACCTGATAATCCTTTGTTCCAAACAAAACTGAGCTAGGGAAAAGCTTTGCATTCAACGATTCTGAGTTGTTTAGTTTCTTTATTAACAACTCACTGAGGCGCTGCTCGTTTTTCGAACAAGCTGTTTCTGATGAGCTGATCTTCTCCTTGAGCGCTTCGACCAGCAGCCATTGATCTTCTTTCGAAACACTCAGCAACCGGTTACAGATTCCTCGAGGTACCAAATATTGTTTCCCAAATCTCCAATGGAACAGTTTGAGGTCATTCCATTCCATATCATATTTCCTGGCAAGTACAAGCCTTCTCTTCTCGATCTCGTCCTGATCAAGCCCGGATATCTCTCCAGCTATCTCGATAGCTTCAATGACAGCAGGAAAGCAAGTTGTGGATGTGGAATTCAATGCACTGTTTGTTTTGATGGGAGGTGATTACTTTGGCCCACCAGTCTTTGGAATCTATGCATTGCTTAATGTAAAGCTCCCCTTCTTTGAAGACCTTATGAAGTTCCTTCAATGGCTGTTCGAGAGCTTTCCACTTTGTGTTCTTCTCTTCAAGCTTCAGATTATCCCTGATCTCTTCAGCAACGGTATCAAAAGCCAAACTAAACATGTCATACAGTAAATAACATTGATTCTGGTTGAATTGAATATCATCTTGCAACACCATTATAGCCTTTAAGCTTCCCAATACCTCTCCAATGCGCCGGAATTGTTCCATTCCGGCTCAGAGAGGAAGCTTCCACTAATGCACACAACCGTTTCCCAAACGAAGATTAATATCCATTCCGACTATGCAACTGCCTAGAGATTCAATCACACAACAATGAGAAGCTATAAGCAGAGTATCAATCAAAGAGAAACAATCAACGAATTCAAAAAGTATCAATAAACAAAACGAAAACAACACCTTCCCTTCAAAATTCCCGGGTAATTTCAGAATCAAGGATCCAAAATCTACCCAGTGGAATCGAATTCCTCGTTATAACTCAAAGAAAAAAACGAAAATCCCAGTTTGAGAGTCAATTTCTCATTGGGGCAATTCATCAAACACCTGGAGGGCGGTTTCTGATCGATGAATGGTGTAATTACGTCGCCAAAACCGCTAAGAAACCGAGGAAAAGAAACAAGAACGGAAATCTCAAGATGGGGTTTCTTGTCGGATTACTGTAACGACAAACTTGATCAAAGTCGTACGAGAAATTAATCAAAATCAATAGGAAGACGATTTCGGAATGGGCTTCAAATTTTAGTTGGAAAAAATGGAGGCGTGGCCGTTGAAATTCCGTTTTATTAGCAAGCACTTGTAAACATGTTCCCGCCGCTTTCGTATTTACGAACGGCATCGTTTTGTTTCTCTGTTACGGCGGCGTTTCAAGTTCAGTGATAAATGTCTTAGTATAACGTATACAAGTCCTTAAGCATTTGCTATTTTTTTTTTTCCGTTCCGTTCAAACAGAATATGTAATGGAAAATCTCCCTCTACCACTCCATCTATTTGCATGTAGTTCGAGAATATGTAACGGGAATTAATAGACACATTTTAAACTGATGGTTATACGTGTCAAAGTAGACAATATCTATTAGCGTGAGTTTGAGCTATTAGAAATGGTATCAGAGATAGACACTCGTCAGTGAGGACGCTGGTCCCTAAGGGAAGTAAACTGTGAGAACACATCGATTGAAGAGAGGAACTAAGCATTGCTTATATGGGTGTGAAAACTTCCTCTTAATAGACGCATTTTCAAACGATAGACTAATTGAAAAGTGCCACGTAGATAATTTTACGTAGACTAGTTAGAAGTTTATTGAAGAATGGATGAGAGATCGAAGTTGAGATCAAAAAAATTCGAGTAATCCATTATTAGTTGGGATTTGTTTTTAAAGCGGTGATTTTGTAATTGAATATCTTATTTATTAATAAAATAATTTGTTATTTTATATTATGTAACGTTGGATGCATTATTCAAGGTTATTAAAGTAAATTTAAACAGTAGTATATAGTTGACATACTAGATAATCATATTCGAGTAATAACTCAAAGATTTTATGGTATATGAATAAGGTTGAGTGTCTAACTTTAGTAATACTATTAATACGACCCATTTTATAATTGTTACAAACGATTTGATCTAAATAGTTCATGTGAAAGCACGTGAATGAGAGTATATTATACAATGAGTTTATATAAAACTAGATCATGAAATACTCGATCTCTCCTTACAAATTATTTAATCGAAATATTAATATTTCACAGGAAAACCATATGCGACTCAATTTTACTCGTAGATTATGAATTCCTGCTAATGATGACTTGTCTTTTAATTTGCAGAGGTGAGAATAGTTCTTATAGTCGATTTAGTGTGTCAATCGTTTTAGGAACTTGATCAAATAAGGAGTTGAGAACATAATTTAGTGAGATAGAAATCACTTATTTTATGTAGAAAAGTAGAAAAATGGATTTGAAGCTCATTCCAAATCGTCGTTACATGTTCTTGAGAAAGACAATTTGAAGCTCATTCCAAAACCGACACTTAATGTAAAAAAGGGATGTCGATATGAACATAACTTAAAATATAGGTAACTTTTCATATAAATTAGAAATTCAATTTTGAATATTCTTAAATCATCAAATAAAATTTATTTTACCAATCTCAGTTGAGTCAGGGTCGGGATAAAACATAGATAACTATTTCAAATGTTGATATGGTTCGATTTCTCAGAGAAAAAAATAAAACTTAAAACAGAAAGTCTAAGTTTTGCATTTAATTTGAAAAATACCATTTCCATTCATCCACGGCATTAACAATTCTCCAAAAAAAAACATCAAATTTATTGCAGATTTGAAAGGTGTTAGAACAAACGACCCTAGTTTTGTTTTTGACAACTTGTCGTTTGAATTTAATATATAATATAATTATTCAAAATACTTTTTTTTTTAATTTTTTAAAATAAAATTATCAAAAATTGCAAAATTCTATATAATTCCATATGATATTGTTTACTTTTAGTGTAAACTCTGGAGATAATATTTTTTTTACGTGTAATTACATGATCTTAGCAAATGTGAGACTCATCTTGAGACTATAGAGTCTTCTCCCATAAGACTTATGGAGTCCTCAAATAACCTCCCCTTAATCGAGACTCACCTCCTTTGGAGTACTTAAATAGAGTAGACCCTTTATTCGATACTTGAATAACTTAAATGATATCTACTTAAATGATAGGTTTTGAAATATTTACGAAAGTTAAATGCATAATATTGTAATTAACCAGAAATATTTAGAAAATAAATGGCAAAATTCAGGATGAGTAGCTCATAATAATAATAAATAAATAAATAAAATAAAATAAAATAAAACTATAGATGGACCTCTAAAATAATGGAAAGACGGAGGAAAAAAACAGAAAAACGAACAATGAGAATCCAAATGAAGCCCATAGACCATTTCAAACAAACCCCCCAAAAAAGAAACTTTGAAACCAGAGATTCACACGCCATTGCAGTTGCAACGTTAAGGCCTGGAGACCAAATGGGCGCTATAAAATCCAGAGCCTCATTTGATTGAGAGCCACACCGCCATTGCCACGCCGTCGTCGCTGTCTCCGGAACTGTCAACTGGCCGGTGGCCCTCAACCACCCCTCCCTTTTGACAGCTTCAAATCATCAACTCGGCCTATTTAATCTCTCTCTGCTGCGGCTCTCCGGAGCCCCTGCAGGAGGTTTCGTCTCAACTTCTTACATTTCTGAGAGACGTTGCAGAGAGAGATTTCGTTCTTCCATTTCAAATTATCTTGTTTTTTCACCTAGAAGCTTCTTCTTCCTTTAACAATGGCGGTCGTTGCTAATAAGATCCCCTTTGGCGTTTTATTTGGTGTTGTTTTTGTTTTGGCTATGCTTCTCCCTGCTTCTGCTCAATCTCTGGCTCCGGCCCAACCTCCTGCTGCTAGCGATGGTTAGTTCTTCTTCTTCTTCTTCCTCATTTGAATCATGGTTTTCAAGTTCTCCACCTATGAATTTCATAAATGATGACAATTATTGTTATGCTAATTTGCAGGGACAAGCATAGACCAGGGGATTGCCTATGTACTGATGCTGTTGGCCTTGGTGCTCACTTACATTATCCATTCAGCCGACCTTTCTATCAGTTTCTAAATTTCATCCACAAAATAACTAGATTCAGATATCACAGAGCTGGAATTTAAAAATGGGGTTCAAGAATTTATCACTTTTTTTTTTTTTTTTTTTCTTTCTGGTTTAATGTCAAGAACTGAGTTTTACATGTAGAAGAATGCAATCATAATGGAGACTATCTTTTTGGACTACAAACTTTCAAACCTCTAATTTGAATGCTTGCTGTTTAATGCTTATGCCTATTTTTGATAAATCTCTCTAAGATTTGAGGTTTGTGTCTATTTGATCCCTACACTTAGAAGATTATAAATGAAACAAATTTGATCTAGACAAGCTTCTTGGGATAACTAATGTTTTTCTCAAGAAATTCGTTCCAAGTATATAGCTGAGTAATGAGAGGGATGGATTTGTTAGAAGAACCTGATAGAAAGGGGAATAGACGAATCTTTGAGATTTCAGTAACACAATTTATTGTTGAACTCAATGGCCACTCTTTTGATAGAATTCAATTCTCAGTAATTGGAAGGAAAGGTATGAATATCTCCTAGAAATGGAGATATTCATACCTTTCCTTTAAGATGAACAATATCCTCTTACAATTCCTTCCTTCAAGCATTCTTCTTCATTTGTTTTGTTTGTTCTTCATCAGTCAGAGAGAACTTCTTCACTTTCTGTCGAAGGAACGATTCAAAGAAAATTCGCATGAAATCAAAACTATTTCAATCCAAACATAATAGCTGAATCACAAGTTGAACTCCGATGAGAACGCAACAAAATTTCAACAATTACTCGGCAAATCCTATTCCGAGAGCTAGACGACCTAATTCGAGAATTCTATAAACAGCACCAATTGATTACAAGAACATAGAAATAAACAATGCAGTCTTAGGGAAATTGAAGAGAGGGAACGACTACCTTGCTAATCACGCATTCTCGCAAATAATGAAGGAGACGGTAGCATTTCTGTTGATCGAAGGGAGACTCCGTAACGCAATTAAGCAAATCGAGAGCTTCCTGAGCGCAAACCGGCGGAGATCGAGGTTCATCCATGGCGGAAATCAACAAGGAATCGAAAACAATGCCGCGGCTAAAAGAAGAGGTTTCCGCAAATTCCAAAATTTTCTGGAGAATAGGTTCGCACGTGCGAGCCAGTGGATCAGGAATGGGCCACTTTTCAGAGGAAAAAAAAAACAAAATATAGGGCCTCAGGAATGGGCCCAAATCAGAAATTGGCCCAATGAGCCCATGGATCAGGTTCGGAGAATTTTTTTTTCCATTTTTTAAAAAATATATTCGTTCCAAAAAGAAAAAATAAATAATAAAAATATATAAAACATTCATTAATCTTTCATAAGCAAAATATAATAATATAATAATTAATTTATAATGCACTTTCGATTAACTTATTTAAAAAAAAAAAAAAGTTAATAAAACAAACAATATGTATTTATTAAGACCAAACTAAGATTTTATTATTGTAATTATTATTTTCAAATGACCAAAATAATATTTTTCAACATTCTTTTTTTACATTCATTATTGTCATTATTAGGGAATTGCCGAAAGAATTAACTGTAAAGTAATGAAGCCATTTAATGAGTGAATAATAATAATAATTATTATTATTATTATGAAATAAAGTCTACATTTATTAATATTGATCAGCGTGCAGAGTGGCCACTTGGATATTATAATAATGATAGTGAAAGCGACAGCTCTTATGCCTATTTATTTTCTGCATATCTAAATTATTTTTTCAACCAAAAAAATAAATCTCTTATATCTCAATTTTTTACTTCACTCACATATATGAAAAATAAATTAATTGGATTTTTCTTTAGCCCTTAATTACCATTATATTAAAATTTATTAGAAGAAAATAGAAATTACAAACTAAAAGAACAAATTGTAATTATAGCTCAATCTCGAGTTAAAAAAACCTTTAAGTTGTACTAACGAAAAATGAGTTAAAGCTTAACGGTAGCTCGAACTTTAACTCGAGATTTTTTAGTGCAAAAAAATCCGAAGTAAGTAATATTTATAATAGAGCATTTATTTGAAGAAAAAAAAATAAAAGTTTTTTTTTAATTGTTGCCCATAATTTAAAAATAATGGTAAAGAATAAAGACATAATTCACCACTCTTAGCCGTCAATATTTAATTCTCTAAAGTTTTTATGCATTTATGGGTACTCATTCATTAAATCTCTCACTTAAAAATAATAATAATAATAATAATATTAAATTTTGATTTAATTCAAATCTTGATATAGGATTCAAAATTTAAATTTGACTCGGTTGGTATAACACTTTCCTCCATTTTTTGGGACATTATTAGATTTTACTTATTTCTCGCTTTTAAGTAAGTGAAGACTATATCTACAAATCAACACTGGTTCTTGAATATTCTAATATTGTCACGTATTTTAAAATAATTGTAAAATTCTAATTTTAAAAAATACTTTTAGTATTTTTATTAATGATTAATTTTAAGTTATTCTTAGTAGTTTAATTTCCATATCTTACAAATTCTTATTATGATTTAACCGTTTTTTTTTTTTTTAATGTTACTAAATTTAAAATTATAATCATATTAAAAACTAAAAATTAAGAAATTAAAATATGGAAGGGGACAACGCCAGTGGGAAATTGGGACTGGAAAACCGTTAAAAACTGACCGACATTACGTGTACGGCCCTGATTCATTCCAACATCATTCTTTCCTTTACCTTTGGAATTTTGTGCCACTATAATAGCCATCAATTTCACTATTACCCTACGTGCATTGGAATTCACAAATTTTTCTTTTTAACTTATTTATCAAAAACAATTTCTAGAAGGACAAGTTTGAGATAGGTTTAATATCATTTTCATGCAATTCATATCAATAAGAGGTCGATGAGTGTGGTTCGGAAGAAAAATATTCAGTCTCGTTTGAAAGAAGGTTGTGCCATTGCAGGTTAAATAAACATTTTTACGTGCTGTTTTGAATTCGAGAGAGGTAGTAGAAGGATATTTTGGTCATTTTCATATATTATGGAATTTTGAAAAGGATTCACAATTAAACACTCAAAAAAATTATTTTGATTAAAAAAGTATATAGTCATTGGGTATTATTTGGAATTTACATTATGAAAATAAATATCAACTTTATGTTATGTGATTTGATGAGTGATTCTCTCTATATTTGGACACAAACGAATATTTTGTAGTCAATATAATTAAATTTAGTTGAAGTCTTAATATTTTTAATTTTATTCTAAATAAACACTATCCAAATAAATAAATAAAAGATTACTAAAGTATGGATTAGATTAGTAAAATATTCTTAAACTTTCAAAAAAGTTCAATAATAATATCAATATTTATAAATAAAAAAAATTAAAAAAATTTTTACTTATAATTTTGGAAATTATTAGACCCATTAATATAATTTAATTTTTTAAAAATTTAAAAATATATTTAGCTTCTATGTTTAAAAAATAGCTATAAAATTATAAAAAATAGTATTAATAATAAAAAATAATTTTAAAAAAATCATATTCTATTTCTTGCTATGTGTGATTTTATGAGAATATGCTGTTTTTTTTTTTTTTTTTTTGAAAGACATAAGATAAGATGCTATAATTCTTTTAGGGGTAGTTGGAGAGTTTATATATATATATAATGTGTTTAGATGAAATTTTAAATTAGGGATCAAAATAAATAATTTATAAAATAATTGTTTGAAATTATAATTGGTAAATTATTGTATTTCCTGGATACATATTAGTTAATTATAATACTTACATGCTAATATACTGATAAATTATAAATTTTGTAATTAATGATATTTTTACATTAATCGTAATTACTTATATATATTGATTAAATACAATAATTAGTCCAACATAAAAGAAATTAATTTATAAGTCAAATTACAAATTTAATTTTTTTAATTTATATTAAATAGGTTTTGATACTTTAATTTCTTTTAAATTATATTCCTACTCTTTATTTTTATTAAAATAAAAGATGTTAATATTACTTTTATAGTAAATATATTTTTGAATTAAAAAAAAAGTATTTTAGAAATTTAGATAAATTATAAAATTTAAAAACATTTTTATTAATTTCACTTACATTTAATACAAGTAGATTCAGTCCACTGACACGTGTGCTGTGCACGTGTATTCGAATTTTGTTGTTTAAAACTTGGAGGGATTCTATAGGCTCAGAACTTTGGCTTATCTTTTTCTAAGCGTGCCGGTCACGTGAACAAGAACACGTGGCTCAATCCAAAAAGGGAAAAACAGTGCAGAAACGGAACGGAAAAATTAAATGGACACGTAGACAAATCCGTCCATCGCCGTTAAAGTGCTGGAGACATTCTCTCGTTCATATTTAATAATAGTTTATAGAGGGGAAAAAAAAAATACGAATACGATTACAAATTAATAAACAAAATAAAATACGACACCGAATTTTCATCCCGGCCGGAGCAAAACTTTGCCGATAAATGGATTGGACGGCGGCGGGAAAGCTTCAGAGGACGACGAGAGGATCCGACCCGAACACATCGCTGAAGTCTTGAAAGAAGTCGTCAGGAGGAGGAGTCGGGTATTCGAACACGAGCCCGGATCCGATTTCTTCGACCGGACTGTGAAACACGCCGTTGAAGGAACCGTCGTCACTGAAGAAGTCGTTGAAGGAACCGTCACCTAACTCGTCGAATAAAGTTGGAATCGTAGTTTCGAAGGCGAAAATGTCGTCGGGAATGAAGGTGTCGGAGCAGCTCGAGAATTCCGACGTGAGATTTTCCGACATACAAGAGTTGTCGGGCTCGCCGGGGATTTGCAAATGGATTTCTTCGATGGCCGGAGATGGACATCGGAGGACAGAGGTTGGAGAGCAAATGTTGTTGTTCGATTCCTCACCGGAGTTGTAGTCGGCGCATTTCCCGGAGGAGGATTTCGGCGGTTGGGTTGTGAAATTAGTAAGTGCATCTGGTCCCCGGAGTTGAATGGCGGCGTTGTCGTAAACCATAGCAGCTTCCTCAGCTGTGTCGTAAGTTCCCAGCCAGAGGCGTACACGGCGAAGTGGGTCTCTGATTTCCGCCGCCCATTTTCCCCACGGCCTCTGTCTCACGCCGCGGAACTTCTTCCCAATGAGCGGCTTCACAGAACGTCGATTCTTCGAAACCCCACATTTCCCCGGCGACCGTCTCAGTCCAATCCTCTCCGATCTGTTCCCACCCCAGATTCCGTTCCCTTCGCCAGAACAAGACGGCTCGATCGTAATTTCATTAACAAACTTCTTGACTCTTTGACGACCAAACATTTCAGGCTCATCATCGCTGGAGGAATCAGTGGCGTCACCGTCGGAAACAGAAATCCGTACAACCCTCTGCCTGGTTTCCGGCACTGAAGTGAGCTTAACATGGTTCAGATGCTCTGAATATTTAATGGGTCGGCCAAAAACAGAGTCGAAACCCATATTGAGTGATTGAAAGCGAAGGGAAGGGGGATGGAATACGAAAATGGGGTCACTAGAAGGAAT